GGTATTTTTTATTTTTTGTAATTGTTCTTGTTTAATTTTTTTGTTGAAAGTTAGTATTTTCTGACTAACATTACAGTAAAGTAGTTTAGTTTTTACAGTAAATAAGTTAGAAAAAGAGAGCGCTGCTGTTTTTATTAAACAGACTGATATGTATTATTTTTCTTTAGGTTTAAATTTTTTAAATCAGGTTAAAACAAATCAGCCACTGTTTTTTTTTAAAATGTGGCTGTTATCTCAAACACATAAAGAAAAAGGACTTTTGTCCGATTTAATTAGAGTTTAGGTTTTACTTCAGCTGTACGGAGTAAATTTTGTTCCACTATTGTTCCACAGAAAACAATTTATTAGAAAATTCAAAGAAATACAATCCAGAAATTAAACTTTGAATTAAAAAGGTTTTCAGAGAATCTTTGTTCTTTTCTCAGGTTTTATTTTTTTGCATATTTTTTTTTTTTTTTTTTTGGCAAAAGTAATATTTTTTTTTATTCTTTTCTACAATATTATATTTCTCTTTTTTAATTACATTTTTCTAATTGCATTTTTTTTAAACTATGTTTTACGGATCACATTCTCTCCTCTTCCCGCCGTCCAAACGCCCGCTCTGCAGGCAGATGAAGGCCATGAGATGCTCTCAGTTATTCCGGTACCGACCCGATGTCCCTGCTGGGTTGTTGTTCGATCAAAGACGGCGTTCATCTGGAGCTTTGCCCCTGGTGGGCGGGTTCCTGTGCAGCCTGTGTGCGTAATGAAGGGATTAGCTTGGAGGAAGAGCGGGCGTTCCTTAATCTAATTATGCCAGGGAAACTTAAAGGAACCCTGATCTCATCCTGGGTAAAACCATCAGAGGCCAGGAAACTGTGACGGAGCACGACCAGCGTTACATAACCTGTCCTGCTTTGTTTTCTTTCTGTTCGAACCACCAGTAGATCCTTTAGTACAGTAGGAGCCATTCAAAGTGTCCTTCGCTGGTCCCTTACAATGTTTCTGTCATGATATCTGGACATTATGATTTAAAGAGAAGCATCATCTCCAGGTGAGACGCTGAAATTCAGTGAAAGAGTGGAGTCAGAGTATAA